TTAGGGCTTAGGGGTTTCAGGGTCTAGGGATTCCTGCAACTGGCCTCTCTTGCATCACGAGAGCCTGCTGCACTTTAGACCAGACCCCCCCCCCTAAACCCTAAACCCTAAACCCTAAATCCTAAACCCTAAACTCTTCGACCCGCAGCGCTTTGCACCGGGGCTCCGGCCGAGCACCAGGATCTTGCCCAGGCGCGGGTGGCAGGGCAGGGCAGCCAAGTGGCGGCCAAGCCTGTCTAGGGTTTGGGGTTTAGGGTCTGTTACTGCTACCCTGTACTGCCAAAAGGGGACCCGAAAAAGTGAAAGAACCCATGCCAAGGGGGCTTTTTCCAAACCTTGCTTACCTTCAAAAAGCAGCAAGAAAAAACCAAGCCAGGGGCGGCGTCAGACCGTCGGGCTGTGCTTGGTCGAGTGCCCCGAGGTCACGCAAGGCCGCCTCGCTTTGCGAGAGGGCGGATGCAGAGAGACATTCGCAGATCTGAAGCCGCTCTTTTCCGTGAGTCTCTTGAACGAAAGGTCTGCCTTCCTCATTTCCTCACAAGAGGACAAGATTGGGAGACGTCGCGCAGATGGTTGGTTTGACTCCCTTTGAAGTTTGAAGCTCTCATGCAACCCAGGCCGGGCCTCCGCAAAGAGCACCGAGAGCTCGTCGGGCGGATCCGGCGTCTTTGCCAGGAAACCGGGCCTGGAATTCATTTTATGGTGCGATCTCTCGGATGCTTGGGAAGGCCATCCGGCCTGTCGTCGATGCCGCTGGCGCACACCTGCTGTTTGGATCTGTCAGAGAGCTTCCAGAATCACGGCTCCCTGCCTGCAAGTAGACGTTCTCCAACGGCACCCGCTGCATCTCCGGGGGGGACACGGCATCCAAGCGCTCTAAGTTCCTCCAGACTTCGAAGAACCCCTCTCACAACCCAGGGTTGGGAAACTCTCTGTCTCAGTCTTACAGCCCGGAGTGGGTCTTGCTGCCGGCGGCCTCTCCGGGAGGAGCCGCAGACAAACCCCGGGCTGGACCTCGGACAAGGCGCGCGATCAGAACGACCAAGCAAAGAGAGAGGAAGCGACAAAGAGAAGAACCAGAGAGAGTGAGAGAGAGAGAGAGAGAGAGAGAGAGAGAGAGAGACCGAGCGGGAGGGGCGACTGCGCTGGGAAGTCCGGGCGCGTCCAGCACGACCGCGGCGCTGCTTCAGGGAATCCAGGGCACACCACTGCTCGCCTCTCAAAGGCCAGGTCAGGTCCACACCCTCCGGAGTTGGACCCCCAGCATGATGTTGCATCATAAAGCCATCCAGGCTAGACTTCTCACATGAACAAACATCATGCTTCTTCTACTCGATTTGATACATATATATATATGCAGCTGAAGCCCGGACGCAGCATGGGCGTGTTGCTGTGCCGATCCACCTCAGAAAGGCCAGGAACCGAAAGTGACCCCGCAGGTGGGTGGGCCAACGCGTTCGGCCTGGTTCCGACGCTCTCGGCAGGTGTCGATGACCACGGTCACGTCAGGAACCTGCATGCAAAACTTCAGTTGCTCGACCGTTACGAAGAAGGATGCAGGCGATCTGAGCCGAAAGCAGTGTCAACTCGACTACAAGCGAGATCGCCAACCGTGTAAACGTGAAGAGTCCATTCAACTCATGGCCCTCATGGCTTGTGAAATCCACATACTTTGATGTTTAAGGGTAAACAATGCAAAACAGTAAGAATGGCAATAGTGTGATCTCCAACAACAGCAACTTGAGTACTAAAGCCTCCTCGATGCCTTCAGACTCTCAGCATCCCTGAGCCCCCCACAGTCACAGAAGTCTCTGCGACGTTCGTTGAGCAGATGATCTTCCGCGTACAACCTGAACAGCTGCAAAGCAGAGTCATCGTGGTCATGTCAGGAAAAATTAAAGCAAATGCGCTAAGACTAGCAGTGCATAGTGACACTAGCAGAATCAGTAGCAGTACCGGCAGGAGCAGCAGCAGTCGCAGAAGCATCAGCTGGAAGAACTGATCATCATCCTTCTATCCTAGCAGACGCAGCCTGCCGGTAGTGACGTGCTGAAGCACAGCTGCTGCTCCTCACATGCGCCAGGGCTGGCAGAAAAGTGCAAAATTGCAATTAGCATGAAAAGGGGACATCAGGCTATCGTCCTCGGGTGGAAGATTGGCATGAAGCGGCAAGACCCACCACTTCGATGACATTGTGCTGTCATCTGTTAGCTTGGACCTGAAGTGGCAATCTATATTCATTCATGCGACATCGAAACTCCGCGTTCATACTACAGATCTTCGGTCTTGATCTATCGACGTGCTTCCAGTTGTGGTGAGGACCGCACTCTGAGTAGGCTGGACGACGGGACCCCGACATCAGCTGCGTGATCTCTCCGAGCCCGGGCAAGAAAACGAGGACGGCACCACGGTGGGGGTCCTGGAGACCGAGGCTCCGCGAGCTTTCGGAAAGCTCAGGCATGTCCAGGCAAGCTCAGGATTTTTGGGAACTCGCGAACGGGCTCCTTCGCCGTTGCTCGCATGGACTCTGGCGCAAAAGTCCAGGCCCCGTCCGGAGAAGTCTCGATCCTAGGTCGTTGGGAAGAACTTCGGCAGAAGGTATGAAAACAAGAGAGCAACAACACACACGGTCAAGCTGTCGTGGCCGTGACGGAGATCGTGTACTGGATATTCAGGAAGGCAGGGCGGGAACATCGACCACGCGTGTTTTCTTTGCCGGTCGGGTCTTGTCGCAGAGCAGCTCCACGATTCGAAAGAATTTTCAACAGTGCCGATAACTCCCGTGACACAACACAGCAAGGCTCGGGGGGTGCTCGTTCGGCAGCCCTTCCCAGACGAGCCCGCCCCACCAAGCGGCTAGCACACACGCACACAAGCAGGCATACATGCTGAAACACAGATGCGGGTACAGATACAGATTCGGATGCGGATACACACACCGACACAGATACGGAAGCAGACATAGATATGGATATTGATATAGACATAGACAGAGACCGACACAGAGACACAGACACAGACAGACATAGACGTCGAAACAGACATGGATAGAGTAGACATAAATACAGTGACTCATGCGAATGTGGACTGACAGCAACACAGATGTTGAACAAAGAACACAGCGCACAACAGAAATGATATGGGATATGGGAAATAGACTGCAGATACAGTACAGACTATCGACTATAGAACACAGAATATAGCATATAGAATGTGGAATATGTAGACACAGTATAGAGATATAGGTACAGGCTCAGGTACCACGGAAACAAGCACATAGACAACTAGTTGAGATAGAAAGATAGACGAATACATAAATTGATAGGCAGATCGACAGACAAATCCAGAACTCATAGATACGTAGATAAATAGATACACAGAGAGGTACAGGTGCCGAGAAAACCCGAGACCCCAGACTGATACCCTGCATCACCACTCTGAGTAGCAGGCTCCTCCACGATCTTCAGAATAAGATCGTAGTCGATGCCATCACTCTCCGACCTCCCAACACGAGCTCAAAAGCGGTCCTGCCTCTCAACAGTCTGGCCCGAAGCCAAGGCAACGAGTCCCCGAACCCGGGACGCGGGCATTTCGGTGGGCTCCCGGCGAAGCTCCTCCGGGCCTGAGGAACTCGGGATTTCGGAAAGGAGCAAAGCAAAGTAGGCCCCTTACTGGAGGCTTCCTCCGGATCCTGGAATTCAGGGCCTTCTGGGCATCCGGCTCTTGGCTTCGGGAGATCGGTTGCGGCCTCAGAGAAGCCGCAGGGAAGGACGAGGGCTCGAGCGGCTCGAGGCCACCGCCAAGGCGAGCGTTGATGCTTTCCATGTAGCACTCCGCCTGCGATCTGAATCCACGGAAGAACTGCCCGTGGCACCGACGAAGAAGTCCAAGGCAGCCGCTACCGGGTGGCAGAATGCAGGGCCTGGCAGCACCGGCACGAAGGACTAAACTAAATTAAATGCAGGAAATCCTACCTCGGTCGTCGTTCCAGAGATTTGAGAACTTGATGCTTCATATGTCAAATCTCTCCCTCTACGGTGGACTGCTTCGAGAAGGCATCTCCAGGTGCCGGACAGACCACCATGGGCGGCTGCTTGAGAGCTATCCCGCCGGCCTCAGCAACATCTCTCTGGTTCTTAGTAGGGAATGGGAACGTAGTCTTTAGGGTTTAGGGTTTAGGGTATCAACGTAGTCTCCCTGGTTCTTAGTAGGGAATGGGGGAATGGATCCCTATGATAGTCCCTTAAGTTCCCCTATAGTAGTCCCAATAACCCATTCCCCCATTCCCTACTGAGAACCAGAGGGACATCTAGAGCAGAACGGCGAAACGGAGCGTCCTGCTGAGCTTCGGACGTGTCCATTCGCAACTTTCACGGGAAGACCTGGCCATCCACATTAAAGCTGCTGAGACTTTTGCACCATGGAGATCACTTAGGCAACGGCTGAAGTACTTCAAAAAGCACTCTGTGTCCATGGTGGCACCTTTGCCAAAATGGTAGACTTGCAGGAAACAGGCTCTATCAAGCGTATTTCACAGTACAATTTTGTGTCTATACTATATCTATATATATATATACATATATGCATACTCGCTTCTTTATTTATTTATTTGATACCAATCAATCAATATATATATATATACACACACAATCAATATTTGTATGTACGTACGTACGTATGTATGTATTCACAAGTCCCCATGGTTCCACCTCCCCTGTAGCAAAGAGACTCTGAGGCCACAGCTCATGAGCACCACACGAAGGTTGGGGCGGTTCACCCGAATCTGCAGGGAAAGAACAGGACAACCAGGGTTTCCATGAGGGGTGCTTACTGGAAGGGTCACCACAAGGCTATAAGGGTTGCTGTAAGGGTTACGACAAGTGAGGGTTACTGCTAAGGACACCAGAGCACATTCATCTGGACACGGCTCGTGAGAAACCTGCTCAGAACAGAGAGAGAGAGAGAGAGAGAGAGAGAGAGAGAGAGAGAGAGAGATGTGACATTAAGCACCCAGCGGTTCCCAGCTTTCGGGGGTACGCAGTATGAGCTGCGGGCCTCGCGTAGGAAGGTAAGCATAAAATCCGTCTCCACGCCGCGCTCATGCACCTGCAGCTGACGCAACACAGTACCTGGAGCCCTGGAGTCTAAAGCAGCAGCTAAGCAGCTAAGCATCTTCAAGCATGCATCACGACTTGCTCAAGGCACCTCGTCCACCAGCAGGTGCGTGACCTTACAAGATGCTGTGACAAAGCAAGCCCATCACCGGCCCTGGGTTCTAGAAAGACATGCATGGAAGAGGGGGGCCCACTAGGCAATGTTGCGAACAATGAAGCTAAGCTGGCCGACCGTCTTTGGGCCGAACATGAACTTTGACCCCTCGTTCGCCAATCTGCGCCTCAAGCCAATTCTGCCACGGCCGCCAAAGCGGGAGTGGCGACTGCAGACAGAAGAAACGGGTTCACTCCAACTGACGGATATGCCAGCTCCGCTACAGCCACTGACAATCACTCCACGATCATACTAGAGTCACTAGAGCTGAGTGACGGCACAACACCACGCCCGTGGTACAGAAGAGCAGCTTGCATTTTGGAGAGGCCACCTGCCGCGAAGGGTCGAGGTGCATCTTGTGATCACTGGTCTAACATTCCACGCCGGGCGGGCTGTGGTGCCGCGGATCTTGTAGCCCACCACACCTTCTCCCACCTTCCACCGAACACAAAAGGCTCCGCCTTAAGACTGGTGCCAGTCCGGTGCCTTTTCGCCCAGCTCCTCGGCGACGCGCTTCGCCACGGTGATGGCGGCAATCCGCCGAGGCCTCGACGGACGCCATGGAGCGGCATGGAACACGCTCTCAAAGCCGCTCTGAAGGTTCCGGACTGCGTGACGACGATCCGCACAGGCCGGCGATTGTCTGTTCCCTGCAACGATGCGAAGGAAGCTTTCGTGGCTACGGCTACAGCAGCCGTTCGCACAGGTGCCTTCCCATGCTTGGCTTCTGCCTGCATGCGGAGTGCTGCCTCGCTGACACAGGCTCAGAAGGTCAACGCTTGAGTACTTCGTAGTATAGCCCTATACTTCAGCAGGCGCGCTTATACCTGATGCACAATGAATTGCACCTCCAAGATGTACTGCGGCACCTGCACTTCTCTAGCAGTCTAGGCTGTTGGAAAGTTATTGCCAACCTCAGCACGACAACAGCCACGGATTTAGTCGGCTTAGGCCTTAAGGTCATTAGATCATAAGGTTTCATCCGCCCACATGGTGGAAATGTCAGGCTGCTATCTGTGCCTGTGTAGTTTTGCCGCATCCTGTCTCGCCCTGAATGAGCCTGTCATCGTCACGAGGCAAGTGAGACAAACACCACAGTAGTGCACATCACTCCGGTCTTCGGTTCAGTTGATGCTTGGCACGTGCATCCGGCTAGGTGCCCAGGCACGATTTGGTTGTCCCTGATCAGCTCCGTGATTTCAGTCTGCAAGAGGACAGGGGCAAGAAGACAGCGAGCTTAGCATGACAACTGTTCCGAGGAAGCAGGATGCAGCGTGATCGTTGCGAACCGCGGTCCTTGTGCTGAGCAATCGGGAGCTTGTTCGTCATAACACGCTTGAACACATAGGGGTCCTCGACAGCGAGTGTCTTCTAAGGATGTCCGCGTATCAAAACACGCCTGGCCTCGTCAATGATGTCTGGTCCGAACCAGGCCTTCCCGGTGCTTCCCAACAAAGGGACCATGATTTGGACCAGACATGTCCAGACGCCTTCATGTTGGAGTACTCCCCTCTCCGCTGCCGGACCACCTTACGGCAGGCGTCTCTGCCGAGGGCGTCTCTCCAGACCGGATCGGTGAGTTAGTCAGCCTTTGAAGCGCTGAGGCTGTGCATGCGGCATCCTCGTTGTTCGCCGATGTAGTCCCGTAAGCAGCATTCGTGGAGGCCTGCGGCGGACCGCAGAACCGCAACAGCAACACCTAGCCACGCAGGTCTCAGATGCTGCGAACTTGCATCCTGCCGCTTCCTTACATCTCCAAGCGAGCGTGCAAAAACCAGCCCCCGCACCTTCAAGCTGACTACCTCGAGAAAAAAAGGATGCTTTCAATCAAAGGACGTACTGAGAAGCTACTTCCAGCTCTCATCCGAGGCCCCTGCAGCTGTCTGCAAGTTTCGCAGACCTGCCAGTCCACAGCCCGAAGCACTCCAACATCAGCTTCCCAGCACTGTGGGTTTTAAAATCTCGCCGGGGACCCCGCTGTCCTCCGGGCTGGGATTCAGGTCTACGTTCGGTAGCGGATCCTGCCGTCGCCCCCCCAAAAGCTGAGACCCTTTTTTGGGGGGGGCAGCTCACTTTGGCGCCTCGCGGAGTCCTCGCTGGACTCGTTCCAAGACCGAACCTCAGCCAGCTGTGCTCAGGAACCGGGTTCCAGGCTCGGCCCGGTCGTGGCTTTCAGAGATCCGAATAAGGCCTGGACGGTAGACGTGCTCGTGATCAGAGTCCTGTGAAGACAGTGAAGCATGACGAGACAGTGTTTGGTCGTCGGCCGGTGATTTTCTCTTGTCTTGGACTTTCTGGGTTTATAAAGGACGAAGGAAAGTTGGCGTGCGGTTTATTTTGGGCGGCCCCGTGCAACTCTCACGCAGCAACTCCACGCGAAGTCAAGTCCGTGAGGAACTATGATAGGAGCCGTCTGTGAGAATGTCTTGCATGTGAGCCAGCTCACTCTGTTTGCTCTGCAACTGTCTACGACCAGTCTGTGAGTCTGCAGAGTCGAATAAAGAACTGGATATGCTCCTCTGGAATTTACCTGTACATTCGGCTTCTTCGAAAATGTGCGAAGGTGTTTGCAGCCGTGCCTCCTCAAGAATGACGCTTCCACATTGACATGAAGCTGTCAATGGTACCAAGATTCTCCTACGAAGAGCCCGCGTCAAGATTAGGGACATCTTCAACGCTGCCTGCAGCATTAGTGCCGGTGCCGGCCGCACAAACAAAAAACTGAGCAGCCCGACTACATGACGAGGGACGCCCCGGTCACCGGTCCTGCTGCGCCTTCCACAGCTGAGGCTCCTGATTCAAGAAGTACCTCCAAGCAATGACCATGATTGTCCCGGAGCGGCACTGCCTTGTCTTGTAACGAAACCCAAGTCCTTTGGCTGCGCACTGGACGTACGACGGGGGGAGGTTGTGATTGAAGGTTAGCGCTGCAATGACTTTGGCGACGCTCTCCTGGGCACTGCCCAGATCCCCGACGAACTCTTCGGCATGATTGCGCTTTCCTCCACTGCAGAGGAGTCGAACTCCTTCTCCCCTGCCTGCAGAAGACGCTGCATCACTCAATCAAACCGTTGATGCTGGCACAAAACGAAGCTGAACACTGAGCTGCAGACGGGCTCCGACATGGGAACGTTAAGGATGGACGCCAGCATTCTCCGCATTCTTTGCGAGAGAAAAAGCGGGCAGTCCTTGCCACAGCGAACACATGTCACTCGGGGCCCGACGGCAAGCTGCAGAGAAGCGTCCTTGATCAACCTCACACAGGCTGGGGCTGCGGCCACTTCCATCTCTGCGCGAGCACGCGCTGTTTCGCGCATCTTCCTCAGAATCAGAGGACCGTAAAATGAGGTAGGGGGTCAGCATGGTTCAGCCGTACAGAAAGACCTTTCTATGCATGCACCTCACACGCACTCGCACTTTTTGTCATCGACGTCGAGCATGTGGACAGTGCGGCGCATGCCTGACCTTTGCTGGCAATATCGTCGGCTAGCTGTGTGGCGACTGCTGTGCTTTTAAAACATACACCAATGAATCAACACTGCAGGCAAATTGCAATCCACCGCCACGTTAGGTTGATGCGAGGCCCCGTCACCTGACCCGGGATCCCAGGGATCCAACCGGCTCCGGGACTTCACGTGGCTTCACCTTGTCCTCGCGCGGCACGCGGTGCTGGAAGTGCTTCTGGACCAGACCCTCCTCGGATTCCACGTCGAGGCTTCACATGTCGCATTTCGGGCTGCTTGGAGTGCCAAGGGGCCATGGTGCAGAGGTCCCCGTCCCCGAGCTCCAGGCGCACGGTGGAATCGAGCTCCGACCTTTCAGGGGATCGGTGCCGCGACATCACCGCCCGCCGGTCGGCTGGGCCCCGCGCCAGTTCGATCGGACCTCGAAGGCGCGCGTGGCTCCCAGCGACAGGGAGATGATGCGGCAGTCGCGCTGCCTCCGGTCCGTTCTGAGTTCGCTCAGGCGGGCTCAGGGCGAGGCCCCCCCCCAGCCGAGGCGAGGACTTGCCCTGAAAGAGCTGCTCATCATCCGCGTGCCAGCCGACAGACATACCTCGCCGCAAGGACTGCCCCCGTGCTCCCACAGCTTGGCTTGTGATAGCCGCGCGCCTCCACTCTCATAGAGATTCAGGTTGCAGCTGTTTGGCCAATCCTGGGGGGAGGACCAAAACAAAACGCCACCCTTATTCTCAGAGAGTCTCGGGTTAATGTATGTATGTGTGTATGTATG